AATCAATAAGACAGTTGGTTTAATTACTATTGGAAAATGCTTGTCATTCCTCTGTAGCATCTGGTCCCCACTGGACCCTCATCATTTCTTTCATCTGCTCCCCCCACCGACCAAACTGTGCAGCTCTGCAACTGCATCCTGGCCCATCCTCACCCTTCTGCTCCCAACACTCACCTCCTTGTACCCCCAATATGTTTTTCCCAATAAAAAAATTATTTAAAAAAATGGATCGAGTTACTGCAGCAATGGGCCAGAGTACATCAGGGATGAGGAGGATGGCACAGGACAGGGCAGGGTACAGAGCTGTTGTTAACAGGTTCTCTGAGTTGTAGTCGACTTGAGGACAATGACCGCATGGTGGGAATTGAATGTCAGCTTCTCCCTGTCCAAGAGAAACTGGAACTGTGAATCATATGTGAAATTCCACATGTTGAAATGTTTCCCAGACAACTGCCACCACCCAGCTCTCAGTCTGTCACACTGTGGTGACTTGCATGTTGCTATGCTGGGGGCGCTGCACCAGCATTTCAAGTGCCAGTTGGCTCAACAGGTTTCCATGCAACTTGTAGACTAAAACACTCTAGGAAGCAAGGTCTGGCCATTGAAGTCTAAAAATGAGGCACCGAAGGTCTTGTGGCTCATTAACAGAAGACTGCCCCACTCACTGGCTTTGGGAACATCTCAGGAGACATGACTCACTACAGGGTCTAACGCTGGAAGCAGAGGGGCAACAACGGTATAGAAGACTCTGGTTGAGATGGAGCGATAACAAGACCCACAGCAGTGAACATGCTGGTAATTAAGAGTGACCCGGGACCCGTCATTTCATTCCTTGTTGTACATGAGGTCACCATGGGTAAGAGGTAGCTGAAGACCAGCTGCCACAAAGTTTTCTTCGTAGTCCTCTGCGGATGAGCATTTGTTTATAATAATGCCTCTTTCTAGGGGCTCTATCCTAAATAAGGTACCTGGCCAAGTAGTGGAGGAGAAATAGAGCCATCTCTACTGGCCAAGGAAGGAGGCTGGGGTCTGCCTAGGTTGTTGCTGTGGGTGTAGGGTCTGCCTGCAGGAAACCAAATTCTCACAAAGGCATGAAATGGGCCAGCAGTGCCCTGCTTCTTAGTGGAATTAAAAGTTGACCAGAAATAGACCCAGCTATCTATGGTCAGCTGATATTCAACAAAGAAATCAAAGCTATCAAATGTGGAAATGATAACCTCTTCAACAAATGGTGCTGGCAAAACTGGACTTTCACCTGCAAAAAGCTGAAACAGGATCCACATTTCACACCATACACAAAAATTAACTCAAGGTGGATCAGAGACTTGGGTCTAACACCCAAAACCATAAGGTTAATAAGAGACAAACTGGGATCAAGCTTATAAATGCTAGTCCAAGGTATAAAAAAGACTGCCAAAAACAATCAGAAATACATTATCTAAAGAGGATAAAATTGATGCATGGGACCGTCTAAAGATTAAATCCATGTGTGCATCAAAAACGGTTTCCAACAGGGTGAAAAGAAAATCTACAGACTGGGAACAAATGTTTGTTAATATCATCTCAGACAAGAGCCTTATAACAAAAGTTTACAGAATACCCCTGGGCCTCCACAAGAAAAAGACTGATAACCCAATCACAAAATGGGCCAAAGACATGGAAAGAATTTTCACAGAGGAAGATATTCAAATGGTAAACAGACACATGAAGAAATGCTGCAAATCACTGGCAATAAGAGAGATGAAAATCAAAACCACAATGAGGTACCATCTCACTCCATTTACAGGGGCAAAGTTTAACAAGGCAGCAAGTGATAAATTTTGGAGAGGACGTGGCAAGAAAGGAACTGTTATACATTGTTGGTGGGATTGTAAAATGGTACAACCACTCTGGAAGGTAGTTCGGCACTTCCTCAAAAAGCTGAACATAGAAATTTTCTAAGGCCCAGGTATTCCACTACTTGGAATATAACCTAAGAATATGAGAACTGAAGCACAAATGGAGATTTGTACACCAATGGTCACAGCAGCATTATTCACCATTACCAAGAACGTGGAAACAGACCAAATGTCCAACCACAATGGACTGAGAAATTATGGTACATTCACACAATGGAATACTATGCAGCACTCAGGACCAATGATTCTGCAAATTATTACCCAACATGGGAGGGACTGGAGAGCATGATGTTGAGTGAACTCAGTCCCACAAGGATAAATACTGTATAAAACCATTATTATAGAATGAGTATAAGGATCCAGGAGGGGTGGGAGAGGCTGGAAGCAGAGGGATGAGGAGGTGCAGGGGGATGAGGGAGATTAATCATGGGTCTGTACAATTTGATGGGGTGAGTGAGGGAAATTGGAAAAATTTGTTCTTGAAAATAATGTATTTTAATTTTGTAAATAAACTAATAGAGAAAAAAAAAGTTGACCATAATCCACATACTATATGCCTACAAGGATGATCTTATTTTAACCATTCCGAATTGCTTCTCCCTGGTCTGTCTTCTTGCAGTGAAGGCAATAGTCTGCAACTGGTGCTCCCTGACCCTAGTGACATTATCTATTAAATACGTCTTTAGCAGCACTAAGTCATGTATCCCTGTGTGTGTATGGATATATATTCAGCCAAACTCTAAGGATGTCCAAATAAGGGGCAGTTGTAATAGTGCTTTTGTTATATATCATGTTTATATACTAAACACCTGGTTGGACAGAGAGTAAATTCTGACTCCCAGCAACCTACCATTGGGTTTGCAATGCTGGAAATCTTTATGGGAAAGGACTGCCAATCTCTCTCCTGCAGAATAACTGCTAGGTTTGAACTGATGCCCTTTCTGTTAGCAGCACAACACACTAAACACTACACTGCCTGGGTTCCTTAAGTTTATATACATTTATGAAACATCTTCTTTCAAGATTCGGAACAAGTTAGTTATGCCTTTCTTACAGTTACGAAAAATCTTTCAAGATTTTGAACAAGCTATTTTAGAAGCGGGTTGTAAGCAGACTCTAAAATTTGTTATTTTTTAATATGTGGGAAAAATCTTCCGCAATACTGCTTTTCCCAAGGACTCTCCAATGCAGGGAGGGAGAAGGTTCCAGGCTGAGAATAAGGCAATCTAGGCCAAGTCCTACCTTTGTAGATGTTGTTGAAGATGGGTCTACTTCTGAAGAGAACTTTAACAAGTAAAATTCACACTTAGAAAAACAGTCATTGGTGTAAAGGATAGAGTTAGTATATTTTTTTAATTGGTAAAATGTTGTAGAAGTAAAAAGTTAAGTTGTTCCCAGCCCCTAAGTGCACATGATACTGTCACACACGCTCTTTCTGGGATTCTCTGGTTATAAGTGTGGCAAATAAAAATGCGTTAACTCTCAGTGATACTGCAGTGCTGGCTGTCCGAAGATCACACTATTCATAATCAGCTCAGTGATTATGACTCGTGTG